GTTGACATTTTCAGTTCAGCCCTCAGTAGGTTTTTAAAAGTGTCCTCAGCTTCAGTGTTTTTGCCCGTCTAGTCAATCCTGGTCACCGTAACTGGGTTGCAACACATTTGCTTTTCCCACAAGTCACTTTATGCAGGAGTATCAGGGCCAGCGGCAGGGCTTCCTACACACGTACGAGCCTCTCTCGCAGGTTCCCTCCGGGGTGGCACAAACAGCAGTGGAGGATGGCTTGGTGACACTCACTGGGTCTTTCTCCTGTTGGACGGCCGAGGTCAGCATCCACATCTCACTCACAGAAGGGAGGTAGGACTGCAGCGCGCCTGTGCATGTCTCGTTCGTCTCTCCCACACACAGACTGGAAGGACTCCGTGGGAATGAGCAGGAGCCGCAGAGAAAAGGTCTCAAGTTCTCACCTGAGTCCAGTTCAGCTTGTGGATAACAGACAATTCAATCTTTGCGTTTGGCCAAGTCTCTCCCAGTAATTCTAAACTCTTCTAAAATTTACTCCAGACACTGCATTTACCACAATGAGAGGTCCTATGAGTTCCTGGGTACAGAGGTCACGCCGCACTCTTTATTGCCCTGTGGCTACAAAGTAAGCTCTCTCCTGGGACTGAGATACTGTAAACCTCAGTGGAAACAGTGAAATGAGTGGCTACCTTTGAAGGTGAGCTGACCTCGGGGGTAATTCCAGCCTTATTTCTCACTGTTCCCACCTGTGCCTATGTAGACAGTGTACAGATTGAAGAAGGCATCATGTCATGTGCACATCTCATCATGTCATGTGCACATCTCATGCTTGCCCACCTGATGTAGTCCTCTCACCTGCCTTCACATTTAATGGCCCCCTCCTCATGCTGTTGCTCCTAGGGTTCAGGCTGCTGTCTCATTCTACCAACCAGAGCTTTTTTACCTCTAAAATTGAAGCTCAATAGTAATCATTTTTAGCAACTTGACAAAGCAGGTTTTGGCAACGATTTAATGACACCCAAAGCACAGGCTATTTTTTTTTAACTTACACATTGGACTTCTTAAATATTAAAAACTTTTGTGTCTCAAAAGACATTATCAACCAAATGGGAATACAATCCATAGAATGAGAGACCATATTTGCAAGCCATGTATCTGATAAGGGATTAATATCCAGAATAGATAAATAAATTTTAAACTCAATTGAAAAAGCAAGCAACCCAAATGAAAAGTAAGCAAATGAGGTGGAGGGACATTTTCTTTCTTTTTTTAATTGAACTGTAGTCAGTTACAGTGTGTCAGTTTCTGGTGTACAGCATGTTTCAGTCATACATATACATACATATATTTGTTTTCATATTCTTTTTCATTACTAAAAGATATTGAATATAGTTCCCTATGTTATACAGAAGAAATTTGTTTTTTATCTATTTTATATGTACTAGTTAATATTTATAAATCTTGAACTCCCAATTTATCCCTTCCTACCTCCTTCCCCTGGGTAAACATGAGTTTGTTTACTATGTCTGTGAATCTGTTTCTGTTTTGCAGATAAGTTCATTAGTGTCTTCTTTCTTTCTTTCTTTCTTTTTTTTTAGATCCTTCTACATATAAGTGATATCATATGGTATTTTTCTTTCCTTTCTGGCTTACTCCATTTAGAATGATGATCTCCAGATCCATCCATGTTGCTGCAAATAGCATTATTTTATTCTTTTTTTGCTGCAAATAGCATTATTTTATTCTTTTTTAT